AAGACGAGGATGAGGAGTTTCCCGATGGAGAAGCGCAGGTAGAAGCAGAGGTACGCATTTGTATTTGCAAATCTGATAACAATTTGTTGAATAAAAATGCTCACAAATTACAGCATGCTATCGAGGATGTAGAAGGTCATCATGACTTTGAACAGCCACACTTAAATGGTGAGATTTTGACTAAACCATCTCCGGAAATGTTCTTCAACAGCCTGAAGCTTTTTTTTACCGTTGAAGTTTCAGATAATCCACCTAGAGTCGTAGAACAGCCCGGACTAGATATTCCACCTGCTGAAGATAATTGGAGAGATTTAGATAGGTACTTTTTTAATGCTTTTGAATGAATGTTTTTGTAAAGGTAGTTGCCGTCATCTTTGATATTGAAAGGCTATTCCTTTTCTCTTGGCCCATTGAACAAAAGGCTATAGAAAGCTTTTGCAGATTTATGCTGCGACTCTTAGAGTTTTTAGACTCGGGCGTACTTCATTATAGTCTATCTCTTCTGTGCTACACAATTTTACTTTGTTGTTTTGATATCAGTATTCCCTTCATTTCGTACTGTTCGCGTTGGAAAAGGTGTCATAGTTAGTGTGTATCAAGGGGGTCGAAATCTACGGGGCATATACTCATAAATTTGAATTGCCTGGATGATTGTAATATCTCTTCAGAAGAAAAGAATTTACAAATCAAGCTCCATGCAAGAACCCTCAAAACTGATGAACTTAGTTTGCTTCATGCCGAAACTTCTTAACTGGTCTGAGTATCGTTACGATTTTATTGCTTCAGATTGGGAGACGAATTGACTTGGCAGAGACTATTGGGTTTGGACGGTTCACTTGTTTTTCTAGAACGCGTAGTCTGGGTGATCTCATTGGATACACTTTTTACGATTATGTTTGGTAAGCTTTTACTCCGTCTCATTTTTCTACTTCAAACGAGGCTAGTTTCGTGTTATCTTTAACGTGTTACAGCGTATGCCCCTTATAAGCTAGGATTCTATATCTTGACCAAGTGTGGAGTCATGCAATCCATCCACTACTTCCCGTCAATAGCTGCAATATTGGCTGGTTACGTTGCAGTCACGGCAATAATCTATGTGCTGCACTATGTTGTTGGAATCATACGATTAGCAAGGTTAGCTTCCAGTTGGTTGTAGTCGACAAAGACATCAGCTTTTTATTTAGTCTCTATCGCATACTGGGCATCTGCTTCCTTGTCTTAAAAGTTTTCCTTTTGGTTCTC